GTATGTTTCACAAATGAATTACTCTGCGTTCATTGGCTTTTGTCTGTGTTCAGTTTGATTTCAAAGCTTCACTTCAGGGGATCTGAGCAGTCGTCCTCACCCATTAAAACAATCACATCAAATTTAGCCCTTCATTCAAGAAACCTTGTTGTTTTCCCCCTTGAACTCATTTCATTGTTTGATCCCTGCTGCATGTCTGCATGATCATCACAGCAAGTCACCTTTACTCATTGGATCTCTCCCATCCAAAAGAAAAGGTCAAGTCAACTCTCAGCTGAGTGGAATACTGAACAAAATGCCTCACAAACAAAACAAAAAAAAGTTGAGTTTATTTAGAAAGTCACAATGTTTGGAACAACTGAAACAAAGATAAACCTATGGAAAGAGACATTTTAGCCAACGTTAGCGTCATTCAAATCAGCCCAGTTTAACAATGTTTAGAGAATTGGTCAAATTTTAACCGCCCCACTCCTTGTTCAATAGTTGTTACTCACAGTTGCTTTATGAGTGGTTCAAAAATATTTTACTGTAAACAAATATTATTAACAAACAGGCCAATTTATGACCAGAAATGTTTCAAAAATACTTTTTCTCTTGCTTTTGTTTTATGTTTGCTTTTTTGATGTTTTTCATGAAACATCTTGACCATGGAGAGGCAAAGGGAACACAATTAGAGCCTCCCTGTGTGGGTTTACATGTTCTCCCTGTGCAGGCACGGGTTTTCTCAGGGTACTCCAGTTTCATCTCATGGACAAAAACATGCACGGTCAACACTCAGTGGTCGCTCTGTCATCCTAAAGGTGTGAGTGACATGGACTTGGGTCACCACATGGACAACCCGGAAAGTATAAGCCAGTAAACTAAAATGAATAGATGGCTGACTGTATCTTGAATAGTCACTTTTGTTCCATAACCAACATTGTTATAAAATGATAAGAAATGAATTATATTGTGTGTGCTTTAATTTGATGCTTCCAACAAGCATTTTTTTCACAGCTGACTGATAAATAAACAATAGACAAGAAAAAGTGCCTAAAATATTTATAAACTGTCTCACAACAACAAGCATGAACTTTAGTGTAGAGAGACACAGAATACCCTGAATGTTATATACAGTACATGAACATATATATACCATAATAAGCTGTCAGAATAAAATGTAACAGAATGACGTTATATTAATGTCTTGTTGTACGTTCGTTTATTATTTTCCAGCCATCATAAGTTCAAAGTGTAAAACTTTGGTAATAGAAAAACCAAGAAGCATGCACACAAAATGTTTCAGTTGACATGTCACAGCTTTTTTTTATTCTATCATGCACACAATCATATTTAAAAGTTTATTTTGTTCTAATGACTCTAGAAGTCTCCTGAGACTATTGTAGTGCTTTTCACTGGAAATGTGTTATACTTGTTCATTTATGTGATTTATATTATTCAAACACTAGAAAGTATGATTGCATAATAGTTGGTGTTTTTTCTGCTGACTCAAATAACTTTTTAACTTTTATTTAATAAAATTATTATTTTATTCACTTTTATAGATTTATTGACTTTTTTTAATCAGTTGTAGGATATTTTTCTGAAGATGCATACGTCGTCTACTGACACAAATCAGACCAGCTTGTCTTCGTCAAGCAGCTGTGATAAATGTGCCGTGCTTGGTCATGTCTTTGCACAGAAAATGAGAATAAAAGCATTTGGAGCCAATTTTATTTACATAACATCCAAGGAAAACTCATACATGAAAACATCTACTCAATCTATGATAAACGAGTGAAAAGACTGTACAAAATTTGAACATATTAATATTGTTTTAGATGTACAAATCACCAACAGGACAAAATGAGCATGCTGTATCTTCTGTACATGTTGCATAAATATTTACAGTCAGTCAACAACAACTGGAACAAACTTTTGGTTTATTTCTATTTTTACCAGCTCTATCAAATCTTCTTATAAAATTTCATCAGCATTATTTGAAGGTTTGATTTTACTGGAAAAATATAATGGAATCAAAGTCATAAGAAATGCTAGTCATGTTGCAATTATTCATACGTCAGTAATGGATATTAAAAAGTAATTGTGCGTTTTACCAACTGCATAATTGCATCGTTTGCCTTTTTCAGTAAAATAAATGGCCTATCTGCACTAATTCTACATTCTGTTGTTCAGTATCAATTTCTGAACCATATTTCTTTGGTGAAATAGCCTCAGAGGTAAACTTTATTTGCTTATTTAAGACTGTAATTTTACAGATCTGCGTCTTATTGAACCTGCTGATAAACTGAGCTAACCTGGTTGTTTTTCATTCCTCTGTCACTGCTCTGCTGTCCTCACAGCCCGCCTCGGACTCGTCCTGTCTCTGTCTGCCTCTCGTTCTCTGTGATGTCTCCTGTTTCTGCTCTTCTTTAACTCCTGGACGTATTTCCATTTGCCCCCTCCTGGAGCCCTTGCTCGCAGCCTTGTTGACTTCTTGTCCAGCCACAGTGAATCGCAGTACTCCTCCAGGGAGTGGAAAGGTGTGCTCATCGCTCTCAGGTAGTCTTTATAACGCTGGTGTGACTCTGCTGCGTGGTGCGGCTCCACCACAGTGTCTTCACTGACCTTGTGTTTTCTGTCCAGTTGTCCGTGTGCAACGAGCTGGAGCTCGAGACGGAGGAGGGTGTGCGTGAAGTGTGAGTGCTCCTGAGCTACACAGATGTACACTCCAACATCAGAGGCGTGAAGAGAGCGAATCAGCAGTCCTCGACTTGTGTGGACGACACGATCATCCAGTTTGACCTGCAAGGAAAATCAAACACATTAGAGACACAGCAGCTCACAACTTTCTTCGGTTTGAGAAGCCAGAATAAAATTTTCATAAAGCCCCGAAAAATTCAAGATATAGACTAGTGGGGAAGCAATTATTAAAATATTCAACTAAAGGTAACAGAAATACCCATTATGTAAAGCATCAGCTAAGACTCTAACAAAAAAATGTTTACAATTATCAATAAATTCTTTTATGAATCACTTTGCTTATAATTCTTGGCATCAATCAATAGATTAGTTTGGAAAAACAATACAATAAGCCATAGGACAGTGACGTCACGAGCACCACAACATGGTCACACTGATGGGAGCTCCGCTTCAACTCTTTTTTTTTTTTGTTCCTGTTGTTTTTGCTATAACCTTTTTTTTGTGCCTACACCACACACGCTACAGGTATGACCGTGACACACGTGGAGTTTTGTGTGTCGCTGTCTTGCCATCGTGCCATCCTGAAATTGTGGTAAAGTTCCCGGCCCCCTTCAGTCTCAGGCTCAGGCTCCGGCCTGTCATGATGTTCGTCTCCATGCTCCTCCATCTGCCTGCACGGACCGAACTCTACGGACCTGTTCGGCTCTGTGGAGGACGTCCTTGGATGTTCTCAGTCTGCTGGACCCGGTTCTGGAGGACAATCCAGGAGGGCTGCTGCTGAGGTCAGTATCAAGCTGCTAGCAGGGCCTGCTAATGATGCTAAGGGGATCCTCCATCTTCCTGCACGGACCGAACTCTACGGACCCGTTCAGTTCCTCATGGAAACCTTGGATGTCCTCTGTCTGTTGGACCCGGTTCTGGACTGCGGTCTGTGAGGGCAGCTTCTGAGATCCTTATTACCATCATGCTGCTGACTGGACCTGCTAGCAAGACCTGCTAAGCTGCTAACGAGACCATCCAACTAACAGAACAGAACCATGATGTTGAAAGAACCTCACATCTAACCGAATCACACTGTAGATGTGTTTCTTTTTCAACTGTAGTGCCTTGTTTTTTAGTATACATTTTTTTTGTGTGTGTTTTTGAGTATTTTTGCTGCATGCTTTGGTATTTCTTGTTGGGGATTTTTGCGAGGGTGGGAGGGATTTTGGAGAGCCGAGACGGTTCTTCTCGTCCTAAGCATTTCATTGCATTGTTGACCTTGTGTTGATTTTGCAAATAAACCTAACCTGAACCTGAACTGCCATCCTAAAGGCTTTTAGCAACCATCAAGTTTTATAAGATAAGTGCTATGTGTTGTCATCATTGTATATTCCCATACAATGGCAAAATTATCTGCATTTAACCCATTGCACCTGGGATACACCCAGGTGGAGCTGTGGGCAGCTATGTAGGCGCCCCGTCTTGCTCAGAGACACCACGACATGTGGGAATGGCTGAGGATCAAGCCCAGGATTTTGAAGTTCCAGGTCAGCTGTCCTACCTCTACCCCATCTCGGACCCCAAAAATCTGCAAATGTTATTGTAATAACACAGCATATCAAATGTTCAGCTTTATCTGTGAATTGAAGTGAGACAGAAATAAAAAAGATGGCATTAGAAGACATGGAAAGTAAAAATATATGTGAATTCACAAAGTAAATAGAGTAAATATACTTACTGACCACCTTACAAGATGGTATTTGGTATACAAACAAATCTTTTTTTTTCTTTGTTAAAACAAGAACTCAGTCTAAATTGGCACAAAAGCTCAAGATGTTGACTACAAATTCTGTCCTTGCTCATACACAAATTGTCACGCATGATTTGTATTCAAGGTGTGTAATGGTCCCTGAAATAGGAACCATGTTGAGTAAGGTGTGGTGAGTTTTAGCCACACTGGGGAGGAGGAGGTTCAGAGGTCACCTTGTCCTATGGAGAGCTCTTTAGATGCACAATGAGAGTTTGTGCTGGTTGGAAAGTGTTTGTCTCACTCGTCTCGCTCCTTTTGCTCCTTTTGCTCGTCTTTAAGGCAAAAAATGATCAATTCTCCTCGTTTCATTTGGCATCAATAATGATTCATCAGGTGGTGTCATTGCTGTCACAGAGCTTAAAGCAACACAGCTGTGCTGGACTGGAAAGTGTGTGTGCGTGTGTGTGAGTTAGCTTCTTCAAACGCATACCTCCCACAGCCCTGCTTTGACCCCCCATAGGTGGAACTGATAAGACGAGCAGAATTGTTCAATAAATTTTACCAACTGTGTAATGGCAATAACTCACCGGTGGTATTTTGGTTCGACACTAATTATGTGTTGTTCAAGTGAAGGCAGATGTAGTTTGATTTTTAAACTCTGTTCTTTCTCCTATCGTAGTCAGTTTCTTGAGACGCCACCCTTAAAATGCATGGCACATGAAAGAAAAAATCTACCTTTTGCCCATGTATCAATTTTAAACCATTCAATTTGTATTTATGTGCTTATCTGTGGTCCTTAAGTTGGCCCACAGCTATTTAAACTCAAGACAACTGTGATTAAACAGCAAAGCCACATATTTAAACTCACCCAGTTGGTCTGTCGTAATGTGTGTATGTGTGTGTAGTGGTCTGTTTGTATAACAGTGTGACTGAGCCAGCATCCTCCTGGAAGTGATAGAAATCCAGCATAAAAAAGTGTCAAGTGTTTGTCTGCACGCATGAAAAGCAACCAATTAAAACTCTGCTTTTCGGACTGTAAGGAATCAGAGGTGCAGGAGGGAAGAAATCTCAAATTACCTCGTAGCTACTTTGATAGTTCACGTGTCAAATATATGTCCTGTGGTTCTTGTTACGTTGCGCTTTGATGTAATTAACTCCTTGCATGAAAATCATCATCATCGTCCATGCTTTTCTTGTTAGTAGTTTCGTAATGATCTGGCATTCCGAACCCCAACTGTCACCACAATCTCTGTGAGGAGGACAACTTAATTCTTTCCAGATAACATTGTTATTCAACATTTTTAGAGCTAATAGCTGACTTTTACAGGCAGAACAAGAAAAGGGAGTGCATGAGGGGAGTGACTATTTGACTGGGCTGCAGGTGTTGTGTACAGCTGGCGGAAGACGCCTCTATCAAAACCCCAAAACACAGCAGGGCAACGCAGTGGGGAACTTGTAGAAACAACATGAAAGGTATGAAGTAACGTGTGCAAACTGAGACGCACAAAGGCGGGACGTGAGGAGAGATTAGGGTGGGACTGATGAGTAAGGTTAACGAACAGGGAAGAAAAGGAGATGACAGACAGAAGGAAACAGACCAGGAGGAAAAAAAAAAACACAAAGACTGAGAGATGAATACGAGTCAAACATCACCTGCTGCACAGCTGTGAGAACAAGCAAGGACATCCAGCATCTAGAAACCCAAACTGAGATATCTGCTTTGGCACTGATGTTTTAGTACTGTAGCCAAAATGTACAAATAAAACCATTTAAACAAAACACAAGAAGTCAGTCTGCAGGTTTTGAAAATAATAAATCTACAAAAAAATAACAATAATAATGACAGGAAAACTGTCAAACTATCCTATAGAAGCTTACATACGTGGATGTAAAAACACCAAATAATTAGTAGTTTTCTCCATTTCAACTTTGTTGCATCTATTTATTCTGTTTCTACAAAATGATAAAGCAAAATATGAAAAACAAAAACTTGTTCATTCACTTTTTTTATACTTTTTCTTGTAGTCCAGCAGGTCACAGACCTGTGCATGCTCAGACACACAACCAGAGAAAACACCCCACTGTGTTCATTACCCAAAACACACATGGCTGTCACTAGGGAGTGCTCTGTTTGTTTTATTCTGTGTGTGAGTGTGTGTTTGCTCACACAAAATGAAACACACGTTCACACACACACAGAGAAAAAACAACAGAGCTATCTGCAGTGTGAGTCTGTTAAGGAACACATGGGTCTTTAACAGCCTTTGCACCTGTTGATGCTTAAACTCGTCCCTGAGACAGAGGAAAGGGCAACATTGTCGGGAATAAGGACGAAGAGCGAGAAGTGGGGACAGATGAGTGAGCAGTGTTTTGGCGATGGGGTAAGCATGACTTTGAGCATTTGGGAAGTAGGAGGCCAGTTTGTCAGTTTGTCTTTCTTTGTCTTTCTTCTTGTCTTCCTGTCATGTCCGGGATGACTGAGAATTCACACCAGCATATTTTTTGGGTTAATGGACAATAGCGCTTCACATCTGCAAAACCAAAGTGGGTCTATTGAATAGTTTGTGATTAAAAATTAAACACCTGACTCCCTTAAACTAAAATGGGAAACGAACCTGGAGGAATTCATATCAGGCTCAATCTGGTGAAAGATCATTAAGAACATTTATTCATCCTTGATTTGTCTGAGACATGCTGTAATTCAATTTAAGGTGGTGCACAGGCTGCACTGATCCAAATACAAGCTGTCCAAGATCAAAGCCAACCTGGACCCTACATGTAATCTTTGTAAACAAACTCCAGCTACACTCTTGCATACATTCTGGACCTGTCCCAAACTGTGGACTTTTTGACTATCTATTTTTGACACCTTCTCTGGGATATGTGGCACAACTGTACACCCATCCCCATCTCATCTCACTGTTCGGGGTGGTCCCTGTAAATACGTCCTTCAGCAAGTACGAGAAGGATATGATTGCTTTTGGCTCTCCTCTGGCCAGGAGACTTGTTTTGTGCAGATGGAAGGAACCCCCCCCCACCCCCCCAGCATATGTTCATTGGATAAGAAAAGTGATGTATCATATTCATTTGTAAAAACATCAGATATACCCTGAAGGGTTCTGTAAAAAGATTTTGGGACACTTGAAGCCTTTAATGCTGTATGTGGAAAACTTGTCAATGCCTATTTAGTTTATTTATGTGTGTGACTGATCCAGTGTGGGAAGTTTTTTTTTGTGTGTGTGTGTGTTCTCCTTTTTGTTTGTATGTTAAAAAAATAAATAAAAAAATCAATTAAAAGACTTTGATTAAAATAATGAAACACCTCACTAGTTTAAACTTGTTTAAAGAAGGGTTGATACTGATATTAGTTTTGAAGCTTTTAGGAATGTTTCCTTTTTATCTAACAAGAAAAGCGGAATTACATCAAAACTTCACCAGAAACATCAGCTTGCACCATTTTTAGATCTCCTAAAATACGTTTTATTGACTTTTCTTATAGCTCGTCTTTGTTTTAATAGATAACTATTATTAACCCCATTTTAAGATCCTGCACATATTGACACCCTGTGCCCCATGTTATTTCCTCATCCAATTTCCATTCTATCCCAAATGGTTTCCTATTTTATTTTCAAAAAAGTTATACATTGCTTTTATACAGATCGAGTTTAGAATAAATCATTCTTCACTCCTCTCAGAGAGAGGGGGCTGCAAAGATTTCCAGAAAATCCTGAACCCACATGAACAGGGAGACAGGGAAGGATGTGTGATTTGTAGCTGGAGGTTTACGATTTTGACTTCAGAGCCAATGGAGCTCAAGTCAAGTATAATGTTCTTGGATTCTTGGCGTTGTTATGTAAGAAAAAAAAAGTCTTGGCCTCATAACTTGTCTGTGCTTTGATTTGTCAAGAAAATAATTAAAAAAATTACCAAGGTACGCCTAGAAAGAAGTCAGCACACTGATCACCTCCAGACATTACAAAGAGGAGTGAGTTAAAATGGTCAGAATACTTCATGTTAGAGAGATGAGCTGGTTTGTATAAACATGTACATAAATGCCGCTCTGACCTCTTCTCTGCGTTCAGATCCAGGTTTTTGGATAAACCACTGGATTTGAGCCTGCTGAGATTTGGGGATGCATTCAAGGAAGGTGGAGTTGTTCTGAACTCCAAAAAGAGCACCCTCCTTCACTTTACCCCTACCAAGACCTGCAGGAAACAGAGCAGACATCTCACAGCTTCCACAAATGAGTAACTAATGGCTGATAAGTAAACCAATTAATAAAGAGTGACATGAGATGATTTCTAACAGCATGGAGTCGACATACTGTCTTCTGTGCCCCAGCACTGAATGGCAGGATCCCCGTTTTTAATGTCCTGTCTTCTGGCTCGCCTGGAAAACAAACACATTGTGATTTTTTTAAAGGAGTTATATATTTTTTCTTATATTTCACATAATTGTAATGTATGTTACATTACTAAGCCACATAAGAAAAAAATGCATTATTTTGTGTGGATTTCAGGAACTCATTTGGAATGATTAATTTTCTACCTTTCAATTTGATGTTTCAGTGTTTATAACAATCAAATCATGTCAAACGATCTTTCAAGTGGAGTGCCTCAAGAATCTTTTTGTAGTCAGGCCTGGGCTTTGCTTTAAATATTCCCTTTTGGTCAGCTTATTTACTTACTAGTATCTCTTACCAAATATAAGCAGATAACGTTTCACTAAAGAGCTCTTCTGATGACTCATTTGATGAGTGATTTACCTGATTGCTTGTCAGACCTTAAAAAATTATTAAAATATAACTTCTTTAAGCTAAGCTTAGAAAAGACAGAAAGTCTACTCGTTGCCCACTAAAGCATAGTTCCACAAATGGTCTTTGTGTCAATGAACTTTTAAAATCAATATTTTCAATTTTTTTTTTACTTTAAGAACAGCTTGTGTCAAGCCATAAATTAGAGATCATATGAATGCTATTATTTCCTCTTGTTTTGATTGCTGTAATACATTTTGAACTTTTCTTATCAAAAAATACCTTAATTTTTTTCAGCAGGTGCAAAACTCTGCAGCAAAGAACATTCAAGAACTCAAGGGACTCCTGTTTTAACTGTCTTCAGTAGATACCTCTTACTTTTAGAATTCCTTTATAAATTGACATTTTAAATGTTCACATGGTCACTATATGTCTCACTTGTTAAAGCCCAACTTTTCAATTTAAGCCCTTATGTCAATAAGGATGGACTACTGCAACTCCCTTCTTCTTTGGGTTTCCTAACAAATCTCTTTGGAAGCTACAGATGGTCCAAAACTCAGCTGCCCGCCCGTGTCATGACTCAAACCTCCTCCTATAACCACATCATTCCTGTCCTGCAGCAGCTCCACTGACTCCCGGTTAAATCACGCATCGTCTTCAAAGTTCTTCTTCTCACTTTCCAAGCTATCCACAACCTTGCCCCTTCTTACCTATCTGACCTCCTACACATCTCCATCCCCTCTCGCTCTCTCAGATCCTCCTCTTCGCTACACCTCCATGTACCCGCTGCCCGCCTCTCCACTATGGGGAGCAGGGCCTTCACCTGCTCTGCCCCTCATCTCTGGAACTCTTTACCCCCCTGACTTACGAAACACCACCTCTCTCTATTCGTCTGCTATGAAAACACCTCTCTTTAGACTCGCTTATCCTTAACTTTGCTTTATGTATTTTATATTTCAATGTATTCTTGTTGATCTTTGCGCTGTGCTTGTTGTTTGTCTTTACACAATCTTTCTGATATGTTTCTTGCTCTAAAGTGTCCTTGGGTGTCCTGAAAGGCACTTTTTAAATAAAATGACGATGATTATTATTATTATTATAAAAACTCACAGGGACTGACCTTTGCAAGCAGGTACCACTTGACAGTGGAACATACATCCCTTCAAAGAAACAGCTGAAAAGCTTTTTTAACACAATTTTGTTTAATGTTGTTTGACATTAATTTATGTCTATTTATTACTTTGTTTTTTATCTTGAGGGAGTGATGGTGTGGAGGTTAGAGAAGATGGGCCTGTGATCTGAAGGTCGCCAGTTCAACTCCCCGGACCGACATCAAAATGTGGTGGGAAAGGTGAAACACCCACACTTGCCACCACCCTCATTTGCCCCACTTTGGGCCTTTGAGCAAGGCCCTTAACCTCCACCATCTGCTCCCCCAGGTGCCAGAGATAGCAGCTCTCTGCTCCACACAGAGGGCTGTGGTAGCTCAGTGGTTTGTGCCTGCGTCAGGAAGGACATCCGGCGTAAAAACAATTGCCAAGTTTTCATACGAGTTAGTTCACTGTGGTGACCCCTGAAGAAGGGAGCAGCCGAAAGTAGAAGAAAATCTTTGGCTTTTATCTTATTGTATTCACAATAATTTAATTTATCATGAAGCATTTTGAAAGTTATTTTAGCTGTGAAAGATGCAATACAATACAAGTGGATTTTACCTAGGCACAACAATTTTTAAAGATTTTTTTTTTTTTTTTTACTGTTATTTTAGGGGGGGTTAAAATACAATGCATCGATTTTTCTACAATGTCATAGAGGACAGGTATTTAAAAGAAAACAATGGATACAACTTATTTATTTGTTGGACCTTTCTGCTCACTTGATCTCCTCTAGCTTGTATTGATTTCTTCCTCCACTTCCGTTTGGTTGTGTGTGATAGGACATCTGCAGCATGCATTCACCCAAGATCTGCTTTCAAAGAGCCCAGGAGACCAAAAGCAGGGCCTCCACTAATACCCAAACAATAACAACACCCCCACTGTCTAATAATATGACAGTTTGACCCGTCTAGCTGCAGGGCAGTGATTCTGCAGATACGAGGGTGAGAGCACAGAGACCAAAGACTAGAAAACAACAACACGCACAACTTTTGAACCTCCAGGATTACACCCTGGAGGTGTAGAATAACTGTTGAGCCAAATAAGTAAAAATAGCATTTCAGATCCTAGAAAGAGCTAATGCACTCTGACATGACAAACAACTGTTGTTGGAAAATAAGACGAAGAAGGGAATACATAACGCAAAGATTGTCAGTATACCTATAGTTCTAAGAAGTACTAATGTAAAAACAAATACAGTGTAAAAGCACCAAATGGTTGGTAAAAAGCAGTTTATGTATTTATCTTATTTTATTGCACATATTTTTAGCTTGGACCATGTTGCGTTCTTATCTGAAGTCTTTTAAGCTCATGTGTTCGTGTGCGCACGTCAAAGGCTGAATGGTTTTATAAAGCACCTACTGAACCACAAAGATAAGGAAATCTCTCCAAGTGCAGTTGGTGCACCATCTGACAAACCTTTTAGATGCAGGGATGTATCTGGAACACGTGTGACCATCCCAGGCGCAATAAGGGTCCCGTGCCAGGCAGCATTCAGCGCAGGCTTGGCCATACAGGTGGCATCTGCTGAGGGAAACCTGAGCTAATCCCTCTCTGGATCCCACGTAGAGCTGTTGCTACAGTGAAAAACAGAATTTACTATAGCTGAAAACAAAACATATGAATTCAAGAACATCAAAATGATTAACGAGTCGTCTGGATCTAAGGATTTCTTGGTTCAACTGGTGATCTGGTCTGACTTGCTTGGAAACACTAACAAGCAGGCACATCGATGCAGACACGGGTCAAACTGCGCTGGAGATTAATGACAGCAGTGATTGGGGTTGAAGTGTCTACTGACACCCCTGACCTCGAGTTAATGAGACGGAAGGGTGAGAAAATAAGGACAGCTAAAGACGGCGAGTAAATCTGAACGCATGTTTTAACTGAGGGTAAATAAAACCGTATGTCTTGTGACACGTCAGGCATGTGTCACAAGACATACTGAGTGTTTGTGGCAAGAATGCACAGAGACATTGTTCAGATGCATGGGCAGAAAAAGAGAGTGCAAAAAGTGACAAACCTGTTTGGAAGAAAGCTCCAAAGTGAGAATGGGGGAGGAAACCTGAAGAAAAAAAAAAGTACAACTTTCAGTATATCAATAAAAAAATACTGAATAAAGATTTGAAACAGTACATGAATGCAAAGCATAGTGAATGTGTGACAAATAGTTTGTGGATTGATCATTCAGCCACAGAAATATTAGAATCCGGTTTAAAGCAAAAGCAACAAAGTTGAGAGCTTTTACAATATTATTACAATATTATGTTTGCATGAATAATTAATATCATATCTGTTGTAGATAGATGTTTGTGCAGCCTCAATTTGGAAAAAAAAAAAAAAACACCAAATTGATAAACTGTAATCTGTAAGTATAGTATCTGTAATTAATCTGTACACAACCCAAACCTAAGTAAGCAAAATTAGTGTTAAGGCAAAATACTAATTTCAAAGAGCTTCAAGCTGAGGTGATTCAAAGAGCTATCCACCAAGATGTTAAACGTTCATAACATTTCTGCAGACCTCCACTCATGAAGATCTGAACGGCTCTTGTAGTTGATTAATATGTGTGGTTATGGTGCGTGTCTAACCTGGAACAGCTGAAGCTCCTCGAGAATCACTTCTTCTGTTGACCAGTTCTCTTGGGTGATGCTCACCACCTTCAGAACTGAACCAGCATCTGCAGCAAAGGCAGGAAACACAGCAACAAGCCACTCAAACACATTTAAGAAGGTTGAGTCAGGTCCTCTGGACGGATTCTTCTTTGTTGAAATGTTTTTGTCTTTTATCCAAAAGACTTTTGGATAAAAGACTAATTGTTTCAATCCGTCCAGAGGACCTGACTCATTGTTAGATGTATCTACCTGGATTATTGAGAACAATTAAACACATATTTATTTTCTAAAGTGAATGAACCTCATACAGCCAAAAGTGTCTGCCAACAAATTTTAAATGGAGAAATGTTTTATGTTTAGTCACAATCATAATGCGAACTGGATGTAGTGTTTCATGACCATCATAAAGAAAATCTGTTTAAGGTTAGGATCTACTCAAAGTCGTCCACTGCCCTCTGCTGGTCACCAAGAACCTTACAGAGACCATTGAGATTAGAAGTGTCTTCTTACCTGTTCCCAGGAACATAACTTCATATTGTCCATCGTCTGCTGCAACCCTGTCCACCACAATGTGAGTCAGGGTGTAATCCACTCGAACGCGTGTGAACACGGGCCGGCCAGTCAGCGGGTGCACAGAGCGTTGCATCAAAGGGTGGAAACGAATGAAGCTGATGACGTCATCCGGGAGGTCTTTAGTGGTCTTGATTCTTGGGTCGTATGTCTTGCTGGGGCACTGAGAAACAAAAAAAAAACTAAAGTGTTGCTGTTTATTTGATGATCAAAGTCAATATTTTATTTTATTTTATATTTTATTTCAGTGGTTCTGCTTAGACCAGGGGTCTGCAACGTGTGGCTCTAGGGCCACATGCGGCTCTTTGGTCCCTCTGCAGTGGCTCTTTCAAACGTTGACCAAAACTGACATGAAACAGAAATGTATTGATTTGTGTAGCAGCAACAAGACAGAGCTTGTTTTAACAGCTTTCTTGTCATTTTCAAAAATGTTAAGGGTCGACATGTTGAATTCATAATGCTGGGCGTTTGTTAGCCATTTCTTTAAGCCGACTTCCAGTCTTATAATGTGATATTTCTCCTAAATCCAAAATATTTTTTTGTAATACCTTTAAGACGAGTTCCAGAGAAGAAATACGGAGAATCAGTTTGACAAGTCAAAATAAATGGAATCTGTCTGGAATATAATGGCATTTATTTAAATTTTTAATTACATATCTAACAAACTGGCCTATTTTTATACTCTATGGTTTATTACTTCAAAGTAGGTAACTTGATTTTTCCACATTAAAAAAAAGAAGTTACATAGGCCTGCATAGTTCAAGTCTTGTTATTAAATTGGTAAAAAAAAAAAAAAAATGTAATTAAATAAAAAAATCCCTTCTTTACATGAAACTGGTCTTTTCTTTTGTCTTAAAAAGTAAAAATATCAATGACTGTTTATATTTGTTAGATATTTTTAGTTTAATAATGTCACGCCTACTGGCCGAAGAGGCTGCCTCCAACAAACTTGATACGGTCCACAGGGAACCAGCTGGCAGTTGGTGGATCATAATAGTGAGCAAGTCAAAAATAGCTCTTTTGACAATAAAGGCTGCAGAGCCCTGGCTTAGACGATTCACTGGTGTGTGTCTCCGTCCTATGGTGTAAATAAGAACTGCAGGAGGCAAAGTGAATGTGAACCATCTGTGTCATGTGTTCCTCTTTCTGTGGGGAACTCACGGTGAGGACTCACGCAGCTGTGCACTTGGAGTTTATACAGAATCAAACCTGCCATGTATCCCTGCCTGATTACAGTATTTAAACAAATTAAACAAGAATCTGATTAACATGGCATGTAACCTCATCGAACTCATGATTAGGTTGTTAATAATGAGGTTCACCCTGCAGCTTCTTAACAACTGTATTTTTTTAATACACCACTTTTCAATTTGTTCATGTTTATTCTTTTGGTAATTTGGAAAAAAGAGAAGTTGTATATTTTTCCTGATATGTCCAAACATAATCAACAGTTAGAAAAGTTCCAGTGTTGCTTCTTTGAGTTCTTCCATGAGGAGGGGGGCAACATACCGTTCCAGGACGGGGATATGGTATTCTTCCTTCATATTCTACCCATCTGTGGTCGGGCCCCTCCTTGTGGGCGTAAGGTCCATTAAACGCAGCTCTTATGTCTGCCATGCGGTACACACACACTGCTGAACCACGGAAAATGGAACTGGAAGTAGAAACAACTATTTATGCCAGGAAGAAAAGAAAAGACTCCCACAGTCGATGAACACGAAGATGAGACAAAAACTGTGGTACCTGGAAGTTGTGAAGACTGCATATACGACAGGGTTTTTGTCATCTCTGGTAGGGAGCAGAAAGATGTCCTCTTAAAGAAAAAATGTCAATGTAAAGGTTATTTTGCTGCCTTTTTAAAATGAAATCATTCAGCTGCCCTTCCTTCATTATGAATTTTAAACTGGCTATTAGTAGAACGGAGCCAGTGCTAATACAATTCAGTCCTCTAAGAAACTGCTCACAGAAGGCTGCTTCAAGATAAAAGTCACTTTACTGGCATAAATCACTTGTTAATCTCACAGTCACTTACGGAGCTCATCAAAGTGTGTGTCCACACCATCTGGTCCAGGAATAGAACACACAAGCCTGGCTTTGAGGAAGGTTGTCCATTTATTGGTCAGACTTCTCAGCCCACCAACATCATTCTGAAACGTAAGCGCATAATCAAAACCAGAACCACAGTCAGAAAAGATGAAATGGCCAAGAAACTAGTTTTTACTTTATTGCAGTCCAGGTGTACCTTATCTATTGAACTTGTAAAGAGAAATGGTAAATGTAGTGTATTTTTATTGTGTCTTTCTTGTTGACCTAACTACACAAAGTGCCATACTAGACAATCTGTTAGGGATGCACGATATTATCGGCATGTATCGTATCGAACGATATTAGCGTTAAAGTTCAATATCGGACATCGGCCATTCCATTAAAATAACTCGCCTATATAAAAGGTGCTGTTTTTGCCGGCGGTCCTTGGTTCAAATCCCAGTCCAGGGACCTTTCTGGGTGGAGTTTGCATGTTCTCTCCGTGCAAGCGTGGGTTTTTCTCCGGGTACTCCAGTTTCCTCCCACAGACCAAAAACATGCATGTTAGTCTGATTGGTAACTCTAAATTGTCTCTAGGTGAGAGTGAGAGAGTGGATGGTCGTTTGTCTCTATGTGTCCCTGTGATGGACTTGTGACCCGTCCAGGGTGTACCTGGCCCCTCGCACAGTGATTGCTGGACATGGGCACCGGCGACTCCCGTGACCCAAAATGGAAGAAAGCGGGTAAAAGATAATGGATGGATGTTTTTGCCTGCAGCGGCAGCACAACGTAATGACGCCATGTGCGCCTACCTGATCACATGGCGAAGAGGAAAATTCAAAATGTCGGCCGTGTGGAAGTTTTATTTTTCGTTGGTGAGGATGTCAGATTCCGAAGATTTATGGACTATGATGAGCCTCGCTACATCGTCCCCAGTCTGAGATATTTTTCCGACGTAATGTTACAAACATTGAGAAGCTGATAGCCGATAGCACTTGGGTGAGTTTTACCACAGACGTTTGGACGTCAAATGTTAGCCCCATTAGCATGATTAGTCTTACGGCACAATGGATAGACAAAAACTTTGAACTTAAAAAGTCTGTCCTTCATGCACAAGAGTTCAGAGGATCCCACACTGCAGCTAGGAACCTGGAACAAGCCTCCACAAGTGAGACAGCATCACAGGTGACTAATGCTAATAAACAACATTTAACACTTTTCATTTAATATAAGTTAAAGTGCTATGCATATCATATGGCTGTTACTGAATATATGTCACCAGCTCTTACAGCTGTTGCACAATTTTTGTAGCAAATAAGTCTAAATAAGAGGGCTATGTTCTGACAAAGGAACGTATATAAAATATTGGTTATCAGCCAAAAAAAGTTTTAACATATCGGCATATCGGATATCAGCCAAATGTCCAATATCATGCATCCCTATAATCTGTGCTTTCACTTGTGCATCAACAAACACATTCATACAACAGTCTACTACACCTCTACAAAACTGATCTGAATAAAACATTCTATAGAATCTAACCAATGCTTTAGAGCACATTCATACACTGATGGGGTACACTGGAGCCATTGAGAGGTTCACTGTCTTGCTCAAGTACATTTGGATATGTGACTGCATTCTGCCTGGAATCAAACTTCTGACTTTCTCATTGGAGGACGACAGCTCCAACCACTGATCCACAGTCACCAAGAAATACAGTATAATCTAGCCTCAGTTACCTTCACTAATTCTTAAAATAAACAGGTGAACAGCATGTGTTTCATTAGAACACATAAAATTCAGGAATATTTTAAAAGGTAAAGAGAAAATTGCAAAGTGAACACATGAAAGAAACAAACGAAAGTGTAACTTGTTGAAGAAAGTTCTAAAACTGATTTATTTATAACAATCCACATTTTACTTTAGCACATTAATTGCTGTTTTACATTGCCATCTTTGATAAAGCTATGTTCAAGTGTTGCTCTTTGTAGTGCATAAAAAGCTTAAGAGAACCAGCTTGTTAAACTTGGCCAATTTATTATCTGAGTGAAGAGTGTTGGGGGCCAACACACTCAAAAACACACTCGAGTGTTTCAGAGACCCCCACTAAGATGTAGGCACTTACAGGATGACGCTTCAAATGTTGCCAATCTTCAAAAAGAATTGATCTTAGGAGCACTCAACTAAGTCGTGTCACATGGAGAGAGGCCCACTCAACAATAACAAAAGCAAGAGCAAAAATACAAAGTGCACAAGAGAAAGAGATGGTAGCAAGGAAGAAGAAAAAAAATGGGGTTCCCAGTCTGAACAGTGGCTTATGCCCAAGTCATAAACATACCGAAAGCTTTTCTCTAGGAATTTAGCAATAAATTTCTGAAGGCTGTGAACTGCTGTGTCAGATAGTTCCATTTGGGGTGATTAATGGTGCATAGTGTGGCGTACTGAAAATCCTTAACTGTAAATATGTTCTGATTGTGTGCCCATCTAAGCTTAGATCCATTTTGCTGTCAAAAAGAATTTATCAAGAACTTATACATTATCATTAAATATATTTTTTTTAATTCAACCTTTATTTAGACAGGTAGATCCCATTGAGCCCCGAGGACTCATTTACAAGAGAGACCTGATTTCAACAAAGAATGATGACAACAATAGACAGTTATAAAAAGGTATACAGATTTTTTTTTTTTTAATTAATTTTTTTTTACAAATAAGATGGCTAAAAAAAAGTAACAAAAAACAGCTAGATTCTAAGGCGAATGTAGAAAACTAAAAACAGGAGCATGTCTGCATTGGTCCCTGCCAGGAGTCCAACAGATTCTTAAAGCCACTTAGAGAGGTCAAGGTCGAGAGCTTCAAATCTTTTTGTAAGATATTCCAAGAAACAGGAGCGGAGTAGGAGAAGGCCCTTTTGCCTAGTTCAGTCCTCACTGAGGGAACACTGCAGGTAATAATGTCCTGAGAGCGCACGCTGTAGCTGCACTCACGCAGAGACATGTAGGAGGAGATGTATGAAGGCAGCAGACCAAGAAGTGATTTAAAGATGAAAATATACCAGTGAGAGAGTCGCCGTGAAGTTAATGATGTCCAATTAACCAGTGAATACTGGGTGCAGTGGTGGGTACAATAATCACGCCAGTTATGAATCTTAGTGCACCATGATAGATGGCATCCAACATCTGCAGGGATCTTGTAGGAGCGTTCATGTAAATATTGTCACCGTAATCAATGGAGGGAAGGAAAGTCACAGATACTGTCCTAGCATTCAGAGTTCGACAGAATCTGTTTCTGAAAAAGAAACCCAGTTTAACTTTCAGTTTCTTTACTAGGTTTTCCACATGGAGCTTAAAAGAGAGATACGAGTCGACCAAGATACCCAAATATTTATAGGAATCAACAAACTCAATGGGGACACCATTTTATTATGAAACCCATCACAATTGGAAATGTTGAAGAATTATAAATTATGAAATTATGTTTCAAATTTAACATAAACTTTAGGTTAATAATGTTCTTATGGGAACTGAATTTAATTTAATTTTATTTTTTTCTTGTTCAGCGAAGGCTAAAAGCCTCAGCGGCTGAATTAATCTGTTATGACACGAGGTTACCTCACATCCCAACTCAGATAAGATAAGACAGATAAGACTAGTGACATCATACATAGTCCCCCCACTGATACACTCTGATAGGCTGTGCTCCCAGATGTGAAGGCGGAGCCAAAGGCCAATATAAACTGGGACGTTCTGTGACACAGGGCCTCCGCTTCCACTTCCGGGTTAAGACGAGTCGGACTGATGCCTCAGCGCTGAACATGTAACTATTTCCTGCCTGAACATTAAATTGGTAAACGGAAAGTATATCTCTTGCTTTATTTGAGTTAGCGCGAGTTTCCTGTCCATCTGGGAATAAAAGAACCAGACGACGGTGGGGAACCGGACCAGATTCAGGGACGGGCCCGGTCCAGATTCTCGCAAAACATAGATCCAAATAGATAAAGATAATAACTAAATGGCTAACATTGTAGAATACACACAGTGTCAAATGCCAGTCAATAAAAGTGTTTTTTTTAAGCAAGACTAAAACTGTGAGAGAGAGAGCCTGCCTGACATGCAAACTGCTATGACATAAATTATGTCTGTCAACACCATTGCACTACCAGGTAATTATCATCATAATAGCCGTTGATCTAGCCCCGAAAAAAAAATAAAATAAAGGTTAAATATATTGGTATGACTTCCTTCCAGGAATAATTTAAAAAACAAATTCTAATTGAAAATGTAAAGATTAATATGTGATGAATTCACTTCAGCAGATAAGACTCCCTTGCACTTCAACTGGCAGCTATTCTTGCGCTACTTTACACAACCAGGGTCTGGGCAGCCATCCATACCCCCCCCCCCCACACACACACACACACACACACACACACACACATTTTATTCCTCTGTACTGTCCACGCCTTCCTTGTGTAATTGTGTAATATCTTACCTTGCACACACGAGCCACTCGGGAGAGGATGCTCTTATCGTTGCCCTCCCATGACACCTCGTGGAAGAAAAAGTATATCTTGTCATCATCCAGATTGTACGTGTCAGCGATGGAATGAGCAGAAATAAACTTGGCCTCTGAAGACACAGAGGGGACAAAAGAAGGGAAGTACTTTTTAAATTAATGGTTTTACCATGAATTGGATTCTAATGTTTGCATTAACACTTTTAGCATGTTTCACATTATATAATTAATTGCTACTTCTATGCACTGAGAAAAAGCAGACCTGTGCTGTGCATAAACTTTCTACGTGTAGCAATGCAATGACCGCCAGAGGATTTAAATCTTAACTGGCAGCGGTCAGCTGGTGGGCCCTATAAACATGTTTAAATTCAGAGGCTCACAGGTAAATATCTGCTTTATTTAATTTGATGTGATGTTCAGCCTGTTTGGCATGAACAACACAGGAGTGTGGCACAGGGACCCTCAAAGAGCTGAAGCACACTGGCTGATATATCTACTTTGAACTTACTTCAGTGACATCTCATGCATTCACAACATCACGGTTTTCCCTAATAGGTCTGTCTAACTTGTTGAAAGAAAAGATCCACATAAGATGATTGTGTATTTAGTGTATTGATGCATGTCTATCCCAGTCTGAACATGTTAAATCTAAAGGTCTCATCTCTATAGAGTAAGTTTTTGTTGTTAGTTTGTGCTGTTGTTATTGAATTTGTTTGTGTTCTTGAAACTTTTATCATATTGCTTTCTGTGCCATCAGTCTCTTTTCCTCAGTCAGCTGCTGCTCCTTAGCCCCGCCCACTCACACCTGCTCCATGCTGTCATTTTGCTCAGGTGTCTCCACTATACTCATCAGCCCCTATTATTATTAGTTAGCATATTCAGTCTATAAATATTGCTATTCAGTAAACTAATAATAAATAATAGCCAATCCTCGTGTTTAAATCTAAATGTTCTGGTTAACAGTGACAATATGTTTGAGTGCCGTGGTCTGTGACATTAGAACAGTGATGGGTAAACTTTAAGAATTACTTATTAAAGCTGTGGCCAATTATTGAATCTTCAAATATCAAACATGCAAAGTAGCTTCCCAAAGTGCGCTCAAATAGTTTGAAAATCAAAGCTATACATCTTATCCTGCTGAATTGTCTTTTAATAAAGATGAAACTGCAAAAAAAGAAATATTAATCATGCTGACCTAGGTATCAGTTCTGTGCTAAAAATAAAAAAAAATAGAGCATGGAAAAGAAAATTTCTAATACGACAAATCATTTATTATCGTCTTATGCATACTAATTCATATTGTTGAGATCACATTTCATTTCATATTGTTGTTACACTAAACTATTTTTGTTACTTGTGGGAATCTGGAAAAAACCCTGATGCACATCATATATTTTTTGTAATTCTGGGGGGGTTGAAGTATCATTTTACTACAAAATTCTATTGTTTGCTTCATGTACCATATTTTTCAGACTATAATGTGCACTGGATTATAAGGTGCATTAAGTGAAACAAAACAGTCAGATAAGTCAAACTTTATTCAACTCATTCACAATAAACCACATAAAATTGGCTCGAGGTCGGTAAGCACAACCAGAATCAATACCTAAGGCGCACCTGAACATAAGGCTCATTCAGTATTTGAGAAAATTAAAGGATTTTAAGTGTGCCTTATAGTCCAAAAAATAGGCTATTATATTATATATTCATCAAATAAAGAACATTTGTTAACCAGTAATATATAAGTTTGGAATTTGTTAACATACAAGTATTTCTCCTGAGTATGGAACAATCCATGTTCTTATATGAATAGAATAAAAAATAGAATTAATTTCCAATAGTTATCTTTTCAAAACCCCAATATTGATGTTGTAACATCTGGAGTTAACACAGCCCATAATAAAATAGCAATGAGGAAGAAAATAAACCCCGTTTTTCCAACAATGTCCCAATTCAAGAGAGAACAAGTCCTACAGCCTGAAAGTTGCAGCGACATTACGTCAACATTAGCTCAAACTCTAAAAGCCGAGCCAAACACCAGAGGGTTATTCCCCCAACTGGAACAGCTTAATAAACTGCTGCTAACACATTTGACAGAAGGTCATTGTTAGTCATGCCGCGCTCAAAAGATGTTCCACAGGCTCGCAGGAAAAGAGACACTGGAGGATATGATGGGCTGTTAGTCTGCCCTCCACAAACACACAATGTTTACACTTACTGAGAGACAGAGACAGACAAATTTACTGCAAACATCTCTGACCGTGGAGTTGTGAAATGTGAAGACCATGTGCAAGGATTTAGGACTTGGAGACAACTGTTGATACTCAACAGCCCGTCAGTGGGCTGTAAAGCACTTGAGACTAGAGATACACGCAAAGAGGGCTCCTTGCATGGGGATGGCTGTGCATGTGTATGTACATGCATACAGCAGGACTGTGAACTTTGTGGAGCACTGTAAATTCCCCTGTAGGTGCGGTCCCTGTTCACCAATGGCATTCATATAAAAAGGTCCAGCTAAATGAATAAGTGGACTGTTTCCTTCCCTCTGGAATGCCAATAACCGTCCGGAGGGCACAAACAGCCCCTTTGTATCAGCGGAGAGGCTGGAAATATTGTGAAAAACTAATAACAGGTTTTGAGTGCACTCCGCATGGTGATGTGTACATGAGCAAGCGAGTGTTTACCATTGATCCAGTAGTCTTCAGAGATGTCTGTGCGTATGTAGTGCTGGTCAGGTGGAGGCCCCAAGGAGCGTGTGAACGCAGTGTCTTTTCCCAGGAAGTCTGAAGATGTCCCTACGTATATGTACTGATCTGAAATGATGTATGGTATTAAGTAGAAATAAGCACACACTATATTTGTAATTAAATGTAAAGTATTTTTGTAACCATCGTTATATTTTTATAGTTCAGTTCTACCAGTTTCATAAAATCGGTGAATTTATGGATTGATTGAATCCTTTTGACTGGATTCTTGACCTCACTGAATCCAAACGTTCAGACAGAATTAGCAACTTGTGCCAGAGACGCTTTCAGACACAAGCTGTCTATGATCGCCTGTCAAATGAATTTGTTGTTCTCTGTGAAACGTCAACTGGTCTACTAAATTGCGTACCGAAACTGTCAGGGATGAAGTTCTTGGAAAACAAATGTGTGAATGCAAATTCTCAATGGCAGCCTTGTGCAAAAATAAAAACCATTTACTTGGTGCTGTGCAGCAAAAAGTGGTCAATGTCATCATCGCTATGTCATCGTACCTGTCAGGACGGAGGTGAACGGCTGCAGGGGATCAAAAGGACATTTCAACCTGCCAGACTCGACTGTGTTAGACAAGAGCTGGAATGCACCATCCTGTGGATTAAGATTCGTTTTACTTTAAGGTATTTGAGTCAAAACATAAAATCCTGAGCTAGTATTGGCTCACTTGTACTTTACCTGTCTGTGGCCAGTCACTTCTAAAAAAGCGCAGATGGGGTGAAAGGCGCCTGTCCCACAGGCATAGACATGTGTTCGATTGTAATTGTGGAGGACTCGAATAAAATTAGCACATTCCAACTGGGACAAGCAGGGACAGAGAAAAACAAAGCAAAACCAGGATGAACAACAGGATGACAAGCAGAATGTACGTGACGCCGCACATGGCATGTTTTTAATTATAATTTTTCTTTTTTTTTCTTAAAGATACTTACATTGACATTTTTGCCGGCCAGTTTGCATGTTTCAACTTTGTCCCTCGGAGCCGGCCAGTGGACCTAATAACATACAATAAATTAGTTTATATTTCAAGTATCGCAAAGCTTTGAACAAGTAAAACCCATCTCATGTTTGAAAGATGTATATATTTAGCAATAGATAAATTGTTTTTGTTTCATTTGAATTGCCCTGTATATGTTTAAAGTACAGAAATGAATATTTTAAATTTGCAAATATATCTAAACAGGAACAGGATCTAGAAGGAGATTGCAAAAAATAATAAAGATTTATTTTAACTGCTTGTGTATTATAAAGTAAGCTAAAATTTTATAGATCTTAATAGATACTACTGGGAAAGCTCTTGACCCATTAACGTTATATGTGCAAGAGTGCAACTCAAGATTCTTCAGAAGCTCTTTTAATGGCTGTTAAAGACTTACAACAAGAGCAGACTTCTCAGATTTGGAAGCAATAGCCAGGCAGCTTCAAGTACAACCAGTGTTTGGTTTGGTTTGCTATTTTTGGCTACAGACAGAGCATTAATCAAAAGCAATGAAAAACGAATAAGGAGGATGTCCAACAAAAGTCATCTGCTGGGTGCTAACTTTTACACTCACAGAAAATTCACATTTTACATGCTGCTGCTGGAGGAAGCACTTATCCCATGTGCCTTCAAAAATACAGCGTGCCATGATCGTACATGTGTTCTAACAGGTATATCTGCTTGGTATGATTTTCTGTTAAACTCTAGGTGTGCTATCTCCAAACTCATTCACAGATAAGGAATTCATACAGAAAATAGTTCTACTGTGATGTGTGCATGTATAAGTGCTACAGAAAATTTGAAACACGGAGCTTTATATCATGAGTGACCAAGATGTGCAGCAACATACAGATATGTTCAAAAACTGTCGTTAGTTTACAGCTAAGCAGTATTCTCCATAAAATCAAGGCAGAAACACCCGGAACATCATGGTTGTGTTTTAGTGGCTGCTGTTCCCATTCCAGACATGCCTTTTCTCATGAACACCAGGTTTGCGCAGGTCGATATTGCCAACCCAAGAGGCTCTGAGAGGGAGACTATCCGATAAAACAACTTGATCAAAATCTAATAAACAGTCTTACCTCTGATGAATCAACCTCAGCTGAGTAACACAGCCACAAACTTGAACATGTGGCACCAATCCAGCAGCATGTGTTTTTGTGTAACAGTGTCTGGGTAGACTTTGCAAATGTTTATGTTTGCAATCGTCTGAGAGCGTGTGCATGCGTGCGCCCTCCAACATGATGACCCTGACCTTAGCAGACAGACAGATTCAGACTGCCGCTGACTGAAAGGTGAGTGCTTCTCTGAAACAAAACACACCTAAGTGCCTTTCAGCTACATTTTAATAGAAAAAGCAACTTACATCACACCACTTAATGGCAGGAGAGTATGTAAGTGTCACAAGATTAGGCTCTGTTCTAAATTGGTTTGGATGTCTTAAGTGGCTCCAAGCATAAGTCTAACCTGAGCAGTAGGTGAAATAAAGTGCAAGGAGGAGTCATACTTTATTTTACTTTATTTATTTATGTGTTTATTGCTAACTATTCCTCTGTCAGTTGGTGCAGGGGCTCTTAAAGCTTTTGTAAACACTTTGAAGTTTACCTAAACTTTTCAAGTAGTGCAAAGGAGCTGAATAGATCTCAATTGAAGAGCCATTCCAGTACCAGCTGTATTTCACTGTTAGTTTGTCATTAGAGAAATACAAGCTTTTAGATTATTTTCTTGTGTCTTGTTTATAAAATCGTAAATGGTTTGCACCGTGCCCCCCATGCTGTATTCATACCCATCTGCTCACAGCAGACTCATGTTCAGGCTGCTGTTTATTACACCATATTATTTTGCATTATTATTGTTTAGCATATTTCTTAGATCCTTGTATACTGTTCTTTGTTATTCTTACATTTTTGCTATTTTGGGTGTAACTGGGACCTTGAGTACACAATTTCGTTCCACGTCATGTACCACATGTTATTCGAATGACAATAAAGAACCTTGAACCTTGAACCTTTACCTTTCTGGGAGCTTTGCTCAGATTGTTCGGGTCCAGCAGGTAGATGTGATCCCTGGCTCCCAACAAAAGACGTCCTCTCTCCTCATCCAGCAGCAGTGAGTGGGAGAGCAGGCCATCTGCTGGGCCCGAGAACAGAGACACGCTACCAGCTTGCTGCAATTCTGGCCAAGAACAAGAGAAAGAAACACAAACAAAGAGATTAAAATTCTCTGTAGGCACGCAGCTTACATGTTAAAAAAATGTACCATTGAGAATTGAATTACAGTACATCTTTCAGTAGGATCACACTGTCAAACTCATTCTTTCCACACAAGTAGAAGGTTGCCGGGTCAGGGGGAAAAAAATCCATGTGTCTTTGATTCTCTTAAATTCATCTAATCCTCTGTGGTTCAACACCTCAGCTATATTTGCTTTTTGGAGAAGAGACATAGACGCGTTGTTTGGACAGCACATTATGTCGTCATCAATGTGTTTGTGTTTGGATTCTGAGTTTAATTTGGTTTCATGTTTATCTCCTATTGTTGGTTTCTATGTTTTCTTTGTGTTCAGTTTGTTCCATTGCCTCCGGTGTTTCCTGTCATTCACTGCTCCCCCCCCCAATCAGTAATTTTCCATATTCAGCCTCTACTCCCTGGTTCTGCCGCACCCACTCACACCTGTTCCTTGTTGTTATCAAGCCAAACATCTCCCATCTCCTCGTTAGCCCAAGTCTATTTAGTGGTTCAATCTTCACCTCATCTGCAGTTGAGCATTGTTGTGTTTCATGCCAAGTCCAGTTCTCTTTTGTGTCCTTATGATTACTCCTCAGTTCACAAATGTATTTTTCTGTCACATTAGCCTTTTGTATTTTGTCAAATAAGGTAAATAGCAATAGGTTTTATTTGAGTTCCTCGTATCAGTCTGCATTCTTGGGTTCAGTGTCCTACAAACCGTGATGCATTACTTATGTATGTGTCCTGTTAAATAACTTCAGTACTTTCACTGAACCATTGTTCTCCGAAAATATCTTGAAATAACATCTCACAACTCAAAATCAGCTATTTAAAAGCAGAGGTTTCAGGGCTTTATTTATTTATACTCTCTGTCGCTCTGCTTACCCACAGAGTCCTCATTTGCAGTTGAGTGAGCATCATCCCAAACATGAGCTTTGGTTGAAGAGTATGTCATGGGCTATATGAGATTAGACCCTGATGAGGGCACGTGGAATGCTTGTTGCTCAACCACATGATGGTATTTGGCTCGCGACGTGCATTTTATATGTACAGTACAGAAATTGGTGAAAATATATATTGCTTGTTTTGACTGGTTGGTTTTGGAGTCTTCATGTCTACAGCTCATTTTAAAGAAAAGTTTCTGAAAGCTGAGCAAAGATGTTTTCTCAGCTCAGAAACGTGTCCTTGATCTCCCTGATCTGAGGAAATCCTTTCCATCACCAAGCTCTTTTCAGTACACCAGTATAGCAACATGTCTTGAATAAACACTGGCTGGAAGCTGGGGAGTCCTGTGGGAGTCACTCTGAAAGGATTGACATTGTGATTACCCTCTCAGTGTGAAGGATTGGAGAGGTTAGCAACCTTCAATATTTGAACTTCTGTGACCCCCTCACACCATGCAGCCTTGTCTAAAGCTCCCTCCTATGCACAAGCTCTCAAACATAGAACCCCCGCATGCTGATACCTCACTCCTACACACATCATTGCCCCCAGTAGACCAAAATCTCACAAGGAGAGATTAGACTCTCTAGTCACTGGCTAACAGTAATCTGTTCTGTGAATGCACAGTCCTAGGAGTCCAATAAAACAGTATTTTTGATTTTTACCACTATACGTTGTGATGCTTTCATTTCTTCAAAGAGAGGAACCCTCAGTATCATCAAAACCTCTTGGTTGGCTTCACAAATGAAGATGAGAGGAACTCTCACTAACATTTTGCATTACAAGTCGACCAAGTCTGAACATTTATCAACAGTTGATGAATATTTGTATGTCAGAATGGCTAATATGCAACAATGTTGCCATCTAGCTGATGTTATTGCATCTTAACTCATTTTTTTATCCATCTAAAATGAATCTAATCAGAATCATATTTGGAGTAACCAATCCCTAAGTAACAAGGGAGGGGAATGTACACACTCTTGGCTTCTAATTTGTGAAATAGTAAGCTAACAACCAACTGATGATCACAAATATTATCCTTGGGATGCCAAAGCAAGAGGTTTATCACTAATATACTGTAGCAAAGTGAAAGTTTTATGGTGTTAATTCTTTAGAAGCTGCAGGCCAGTGTTATCAGCAGTGTGAATAGAAATTACCATATGAGCAAAAGCAGCAACGACATAGAGCAGTATTTTGTTTAGGAGAAGTGTTCCTGTGTCTGATATTTGGACTGACTAAAATGAGGCTGCTCGTATTTGTTATACAATCCTAGTCTCTGTCATTAAAATTCAGGGCTAAATGTTCTGCTTATGATTCATGTAGAGAGTGACGTGACAGTCTGTTTCAAATGTCAGAAAGTGACAGAACGCCTTCCATAAATCCATGTAAGTTAAGTAGAAACTATTTACAAACAGAATTTAAACTAGCTGGAGCCACAGTGAGAGTAATGCAGGCCACATGGGGACAAGATGCATTTACTTCATGGTTTTGGTCACACTCACAACAAAAGCAAAAGACTAATCAGACACTGTAGCCCAATGAAATAGATCTAGTCACAAGAATATGAAATGACTTTCCGTTTCCTCATAGTCTTTACTCTGACTCTGGGTGAAGCTCATCCTTCAGCACAGGATTATCAGGGTAAAGTTCATGCAGGCTGTTGTTTTGAAGGTGCTCACTCAAACAGGGATGATTTCACTTTGATCATTTCATCCTTCACTCACCGAGGCTGTGCTTTCACATGGAGTGGGGGGAGATGATGTGATGTGATGTGATGTTAGAAGTGAGATCTTTGCTGGGCCGTGTTGGTGCACTGATGAGATGATGATGTGTGCGCATAATGTGAGCCCTGAGTTTGATTCTCTTTGGATGGATTTCGTAAAAACTGCAGTCACGATGGTTGAGAGAACCAAAAATGGACATGGGTGTGTATCTTTTGCTCAGGAGTCTATGGGTAAACATTTTATCGCAGGATCATCCTTTGCACGACTAAACACTAAATGTCCATCACTTTTATTGTCAGATTCATAAATTATATGATGGCAAAGCAGGGGACTTATGGCCCAAATGCACATGTGGCCCTGTTAAACAGTGATCATACTGAATATGGAAACAATATAATCTGAGACACACTGCAGAGTTAAATGCTACCCTAAGTGCTGAGTAAACACTGTCCCTCGTACTCATTACTCTTGCAGCTACTTGAATATATTTATATTGGACACTAAGAGCACATGTGTACATCTTTTTCCAGCCACACTGGGCCTTGGAAGCTAAAAGGGAGCCTTTAGAGACTGAAGTCAGAGTGAGTTTACTTTTGGGTCACAGTGGGGGATTCAGTTTTATGGAGCTAAGACTGAAGTTCATTTGTGCACTGTCTTGTAGTCCACGTGGTGCAGGAGATTCCGAGACTTTGATGTGAAGTTTGCTCTGCAGTTGGGAGTGGGTTTTACGGGCACAATAATTATGGTTTCCCTGGATGCTCAAAGCAAACAGGCTTAGATCATATGAGGCTAAGCTTATAGACAGAGAACACAGAGGTTATGTTTGTGCAGAAGATTGAACGTCTGTATCGACACACCCAAGAGCATCAAACATATACATTACTGTTGTTATTATTCTTTTGCCTCTTCCCCTCTGTAAGAGTTTCCACATTGAGCGAACTCACGCAAGAGATTTGACAATTGTTTTATGCCAGATGTTCATCCTGATGCAACCTGGGATCAAACCTGCAGGACTTACTATGAAGCTAATGTAGCCCCATAACAGTGCCTTGGCTCAAAAGCAAACATTTATTTGGTTATTTTGGCTGTAGTAAAAAAAATGGCTTGGGTTTAGAACAATAAGAATTAAATTTAAGGGAAGATTAAAATGTAGCAAAAGTGCTTCACAAAAAGTATCTGTAAAGAAATTTAAGTTGCAAACATGGACTTACTGTATGTTGTGGGCTGATGAACCTGTTAATGAATCTTAAATGTTTTACTTGGTTACATTAAATAGAGGTGACTGTAAACACACGACTAAACTCTGGAAATAGTTTTACAATTGTCCAAATTCTGCACAAAAAATTAGTCCAGAGAATACCATAGAGAGTAACAAAAAGGAACGACAGAGAAAATGAATAATCTGTGAATATCAAAAGTTATATCTCTGCAGATTATTTAAACTTTTGTCTCAACTTTTTTTGTCTGAACTGCCTTAAGTTTTTATTAAATAGAAATGCGTTCGAACATTGAAGTTAGCAAACAAGCTCGTCAGTATTTTAGTTCTTACCTTTGTAGCTGAGTTTGACCCTGGGCACGCTCTGTTTGATGCTCGCTCCAAAGGGAAGACAGGCCAACAAAACCAGTCCCATTAATGGGACCACTGGATGGGACAGAAACAAAGTCCTCCTTCCTTTACCGCTACAAATACTGCCAGACAAGTAGAACAGAACCCCAGCTGTCATCCATCTCTGATTACCAGGTTCTTCTGTCTTCATGATGTATTCAGGTCCTTGCTTTGCACTCTTCTATCAAACCTGGTGGGGGAAAAGACCAGTGCAAAGAGTAAGCTAAAGTGGAGTGATCACAAGTGAGTATGCACGAGGGTGTGTGTAGTCTCTTCACAGAGGATGTTCGCACTAGTTGGGACCATTCAGTTGTTTCACCATGGAGCCCTGCAGGCATGCCCCTCTTTCTTTGCTCTTCCTACATCAGCTGGTGCTCACCACTAGCTTTCCTTTTGTGCTGTTTTTAAATGTGTTTGCTCAAAACAAAGGTCAAACTAACCAAACAGACACTTTTTACCATCTTGTCTCTGGCCATTTTTTTTTTGTTTTGTTTTGTTTTAATTTCTTTCTCTCCCTTGCTTCCTTTTCACAAAGATATGTTATTTAACTCTTTGTTAAATGCATTAGTTTCATCAGTGGCAATGACCCTGTCACTTCTTCTATATCACATGAAAATGGCTCATGTCTTGTTTGAAACAGTGAATAAAAGAGGCCTATGGGACAAATATATTGAGTTTTCTACCACACATATGCTACAAAATCTCCAGTAATGTGTCCTAAATGAGCATATTTTGTATTCAAGTTCTAGTCAGTATAAGTATTTACAGAATGTCTTTTTTCCAGTTTCCACTGCCATTTAGCTACTAATTAACTAGACAACTGATGAAGAAATGTATCAATGAAAAAAAAAAGCTCCTCCTTTGACCTTATAGCAGCCCTCATTACTTTTCTTCCACACCTACCGCAGATAACACAAATCAGCTTGTCAAAGGACAGAGTAAACAGTGTCAAGCTAAATTAATTGATTGCATGCAGATGAGGCACACACACACACACACACACACACACACACTTATCTCAGGTTCTGAAGCCAAACCTGCTGCTTGCAGACAGAAGGACGGGGCATAAAATCAATAAAACTACAAAAGTGCCATTTAGGATGATGCCGCTATGAATGCAGCACAGTATAAATCACTTTCAATGCAGTTTAGGGCATGTATTAATTCACACATTTTTACAACACAATCATATAGAAGCAGACACTAGAACTATTTGGTGCACATTTATTCCCCCTGCCCAGTTTAGTCATGTGGCATTTAAAGCCTAACTTCATTGTAGATAAAGTGAGCTCATCAAGTTCCCTGCAGCTTTAAAACCAAGAGGATTAGACCCTGAAAAACAGACTGCTGTTTATTTAAGATGACAAATTGAGGCACCTTCACACCTTCAAGGTTAGCAATACAGATATGTGTGATGGATGAGCCATGGGCAAAGAGACCAAGCAAGTTAAAGGGTTTTAATCCATGAGGTATTTGCTCTTTGTGAGCGACGGCGATAGTGCCTTTGGCAAGGCTTATCCTCCCTGCAGTCTGTAGGATAGCAGTGACATGATTTCACCCAAGTGCGAAGCATGTGACTCGTGCATTTCTATTCTCGTTTTGAGTATGTACATATTTCAGCAGCACGGGCTTGTGCAGCCACTTTCAACAAGACTGCCCCCAAAACGAGAACAAAAGGAGCTTTTAAATAAAGTTTTTTACTTGAGAAAAGAGTGAGAAACTAACATGCAAGGGAAATAATGGAACATAATGAATAAATATTAAAAGAGATAGAAAAGGTGAAGGAGAGGTGGGAACGAAGAGAAACAGCTTTTAACATGTGGGTTAAGCTAACACCTCTGTTTCCTGGCGACTTGAGCCCCTGTTGTCTTTGGCAGCATGGCCGGCACGCGGTGTGTGTGTGTGTGTGGGGGGGGGATGAACCCAACCTGATAAAGATGGTGACAGATCTAAAGCTTTCATGGCTTCTGGCTATAGATCTAGCATCAAAATATAGTACCTTTTACACCATAATGCCTAAAATGAAGTAGCTTTTAAAGTTTGGGCTAAACATCAAATAAAGCTAGTGTTTACAATAAAGTTCAAACCACAACCTTGTTGACTGTTATCATATTACACCTTCTTAGATAACTTATTATAAGAAAATCTGAGCACTCTAAAACCAAGTAGCACAGCATCCACATGAGAAATAGTCCTGAAAAGGCAGCAGATGGTGAAGATGTGATCTGGCCATAGGCATTTTCACATACAGACCACCCCTAATGAGGCATTTAGCAACACCCAGGTGCCCTCCAACACGCCATTATCGACCCCCTCCACTTCTACGGGACAAAGTGCATTAGTGCAGCTATTTGTCTTTATTCCCTGACCACAGGCACTGACCTGGCAGAACAACACAAGTAATTGTTTCTAGCTCTCAAGACATTAGTTGTTTTTCTTGGCAACAGTCAATCATCTTTTTTTAACCTCTCATTTAAGCGAGCGAGTAGCTTTTTGTGAGTCTGTGTGAGTTTTAGTCTCACTGGAGGAGTGTCGGACCTCTGCAGTGCAACACTGTTTGCATACATACATACATATATATATACAT